TATATTACGTGAACAACATAACCAGTAGTAATAACAAAAACAAAACAATCTTAATAGTTTTTCCAAAAATTTGTTTTCAAAGATTTTATTTTATGTTTTAAAATTTTTAAATAATATAATTGTAACACTAAAGATTGTGACAATAAAATTGTAATATTAAGGTGGTAATACTCGAGTAATGTGAAGCTCTTTTAATAAAATTTTAAATTATTAAATAAAACTTACGGAAATAAAATATGTGATATATATGTGCGCGCGCTTATATGTATATCCACATGACCTTTTTTAAGACGATGCTGGAAGGTCGGAATTATCAACACATTGCGTAAAGATTTTTCCGAAATGACAGAACTGATTTAAAAACCCTTTTACAGAATTGAAATAGACGTAAAATGTATTGGGGGGGACAAAGGAATTTGTAGTCAAAACGAAAAAAAATTAAAAAATAACATTTTTCGGGTTGCTGTCACTTGACGTAAACATTTTATTAGTGTAGAAGTTCTGATGTAGCTCATATGTACAAAATGCTTACGTTCCCCGAATCGGATTACATCATACATGAACAAATAATATAATAACACTTTTAATATAATAATATAATAACAATTTTGTAACGTATATTATAAGTGAAGGCACTTACAGGGCCGTCACTACCAAATACTTGCACCCTCTCGCATCCCAACCGTCTTCCCTGCTCCGTAGCCATCCCCTCTTTGCCCTCCGCGTCCGCTCTCTAAACACTCCGCTCGCGGGTTATCGATAAAAACCGCGGAACTCCTTTGTCGGTTGATAGGTAGCCTTTCAGAGCGATGCGAGGTCAGATATTTGACATGTTACAGGTTCAATTTCATGTCAATAATATCTGTGCAGAGGGAAGCGAATAGGACAGATGATCAAAAGAGGGGGAAAGGGAGGGTGGACTCGGAAGGAGAATGAATATTCGCGATACGCGGCACACTGCATTTTCCTCTTTCAGGATAGCTTCAGCCAGAATGTGGGGCAGAATGACGATTAATACGTGTTAACCGGTCACGATTGCATTTTCTCGCCCCCTTTCTCCGCCCGGCCTCTCTTCTTCCCCCTTTTTTCATTGATTTTAATCCGTAAAAAAATGGGTTTAATTAATGGGTGTATATCAGCGGCTTAGAGAAAGCGAACTGCAATAACCCGGAAAAGTTCAATTTAGGGTTGACGATACGAAGGATTGCGAGCGAAAGCGCGGTAACCCACACTCGGAATAGTCACGATAGTTACTTCAGAAGTAATATAACTTGCGGAACGTTCACAAGAGCGTAAAGAACTTGTAATAATATACCAATACGGCAAGATACACAGAGGCGAAATATGTGTGTTTGGCCGACGTTTATTTCTATCCTATTTACTGTTTTTATGTCTAATATGAAGCTCGCTCACGAGTTTTTTTTATGTAAACGTAATGTTACATCCTGTGAGAGTAAAGTACTTGAACTTTGCTACTAAACCGTTATCTCTCGTGGCTACTTTTCTTTATTTTTCTGGAAAGTTACGTTCTATGGGTTATCGTGTTCTCGTGGAATTCTTCATATTTACACAGTGGCAGACCGTCGCGTGACGCGGCAACGGTACAGTTTTCTACAACCTCGAGGGATGGCGGAGAAGCCGTAGCAGAGACTATGTCATAAAGAGAAAATTCTTGCGTAGAATATACCAGGCTTTTGATACTCGCCTTCGAGGCGATGTATACGAATATTTCATTCATTCGCATATAGAAAGCGTCCCGTCGTTATATCTCTCTTTTTGCGCAAAGTCTTGCAGACGTTATCGTAATCTAGTTTGTATTTGAATCACGACAGAAAGCTTAAGATTGTACCTCCGAATATTTCAGGAGTAACTGACGTTGAGGGAAAACCGGGAAAAGCGATAGGAAAGTGCTTTAGGTTAATAAGAAGATGTATTTTTCCTCAACATCGGTGAACGGAGCAATTCTAAAAGTAATTCTTTGCTTAATAATTAATTCTTTCGGTATTTTTGTTCGGCATATTAAAGCATATTAAATGTTGTTTGTGCACGTTTTTACATTAAGAACCGTTTTTACTTTAATCACAATTCGAAATGACAATAATAATTCAAAACGTTTTATTCCAAATCTTACCGAAAGGATTGATTAAAAAGCATAAGATTGTGGAAGCTCTAAAAAATCTGGTTTAACAGGCACTTTCATGAAATATTTCTCGAGGTAGACTGCAGTTAGATAACGCGACGGAAAAGAAATCATTAATTAACGAGTTACGCACGGCGGTAAGATTAGGTAGGCTTTGAGAAGGCGAGGAAACATATCCGAATCGCTCTCTAAGAAATAGGTTTGTGAGACCAGGTGGGGTGGATGAGACCAAACAGGACGCTCCTAACATTTGGCAATAAAGTGAGCACGAACAATCCTTCAATCAAAACTCGTCTGTCGATTATTGTTGGAAAAGGTAATTATTGAATCATACTTTCTGTTTGTATTTTTTAGTTGGCTGCAATATTTATAGTAATTTAGTTCGCCATTTGCAATTTTTACTTTACTTTTTATTTTAATATATTGGTAAACCTGTTCTCTTTCCGCGTTCTCTACCTCGCTTATATACTTTACTTTTTGGTTATTTCGCCACACTTTGTGCTCAGACATTTTCTTTCCTTAGAAAGGTTTTTTTTTGTTTATCACAAAATATATACTTATTCACTGTTAAAACCTGCTATTTCATTCAATTCTAACAGCGACCCAGGGCGACTTCAACACGTTGAAAATTCACGATGCACGCCAGGAAGATTATGGGATTTATATATGCGCAATCCCTTGGAACTACCAGGTAGGGGAAAGTCGTATTGTATCGGACACCTAAGCTTTTTCATAAATAATTTTTTTTTTAATAGCTAAATTTAAATATATTACATTTTTGTCATGTTTTTTTGTGAAGGGTTGTATTGGACATGATATAGTGTATAAGAAAAGTCATTTTTGGATTCTTTTCTTACACATTATATCATGATACAACTCTTCACAAACAAACATGATAAAAATGTCTGTAAAAAGCATAAAAAAACGATTGATATTTTTATTTTCGGGTTGTATGGGACAGATGAGTTGCTGGTTGTATTGAACAATCTGTACGGTTTATAAAACTTAAATTATTGTATGTTATTATATTGCCATATTGCCCTGTAATACAAAAAATGTGAGAATTTAATCCGGTCGGTGGTTTCGTTGTATATTTCGTAACACTTCGTATTCTTTCTTTGCTGCACGCGCGTATACACACGCAGACGCGCTATAATTTATCTCCGCATTCGCAGACCGCGTTTTTGGAGGTGGTGGTACCGCCAAACATTATCTCAGAGGAGACCTCGGACGACTTAATAGTTCCCGAAGGAAGTACTGCGAAGCTGGTGTGCAAAGCGCGCGGTTATCCCAAGCCCAAGATCGTGTGGCAGCGAGAAGACGGCGCCGAAATCTTTTCGCGTGTCGGCCCTTATAAGATAAAGGTAAAAGGTAAGGACTCCACAAGTTTTATTTCGCGCCAGTCAATCTCGCTTTCTCCCTTGGGAGCGGCCGCGGCGGCGTGTGATGCGAGAACCGAAGCTTTCTTTGGATACGAAATTGTCGGTGATCTCTCCCGAGATAGCCTGCGAGCGGATAGAATTTAATTGACAGCCGTCGCTTGCACATCTATTAACTAATCTATTTACGAAATTAACTCGTATTCAGCGCTGTAAGTAGATATACTCATTAAATCGATATTATCGCACATATGACGGATGGTATCAGAAGTGGATTTAATGTAACGACAAATTTCCATATAAACGTTTACGCGATTGCATGAGTTTAATCCGTTAAATCTATCGAGCATTAATGTTGCACTTTGATTACGTGTAACGAGCTAACTTCTGAAACCGACCCCTCGTGTTTGCATATTGCAGAATCCAGTGTGGAGGGCGAAGTGCTGACTTTATCGAATGTGACGAGGGACGAGATGGGCATCTACCTGTGCATCGCCAACAACAATGTAATAACTCCACCAATCACTCATAGAATAGAGCTGTACATAAGTACACTGCACTGTAAGTAAATATGTTCGGATATTTCTGCCGTATGCCACAAAGGACATTTTTTTGTAATCACGGATGTCAACATTTGTTTTATTTAAAACTTTCGCGGTAATTATTGAGAATAAGGGAACCACCTCCAATGACCTTGACCTTGACATATGTTATCAAGAACATGACTCTGAGTGACCCTCAAAAGGTCTTATCCGGCAATTGTCCTTTGTTAAAAAGTTATTAATAAAAAACGTTATAAAAATTAATGATAATTATTCATTATAGGATAATTTTATTAGATGTTATTATCTTTTCGTTATTGTTATATATTAATTATTAAATATTTAATCTTTGTTTAAATAAATTATTAAAATTAAATATTAATGATTTTTTTTATTAATCTCTTATATTTTTAATTATCTTTATTCATAAATTTTATACTTTCAAGGGAGATACGATTTAGAAGACCGGTTTTCTAAATAGTACGTGTTTTTTGCTCATGTTACCAAAAAAACATATAAATTAGTTTGTTATTGGCAAAAAGCTAAACATGCAGTAATAAATAGGTGTTTGAATTATCAAGCTGTAATTTTCAATGTATTTTATATTTACGTACAATAATACGTATATGAATAAATAAAATTTATTATCAAATGAAAGAAAATATAAAAAATATAAATAATAAAAAATAATTTGAGTAGTACGTATTCGGCAACACTTTTCTGTTCTAAAATCTGCACAATTTGTTTATTTGTCAAAGAGAATGGAATTCTTTAAATGTAATCTGATGCTAAGAACTGAAATTTAATATGACGGTGTCTCACTTGCAAGAGTGAATAAAAGCTTGCAATATCCGCGCAAAATTTTCCGGATTTAATCGCGACGGACGCACTGTGATGGATTGTATAAGTTTATTTCTGCGCGCGAATAAAGGATTAATTTTATTGCTGCAGCTTGTAATTTTCGATGCACCTGTGTACGTTACTTGCAGTCGAATAATATCTGACTACGAGCGAATGCCACGTATACACCGGCGGAAATTTCCAGCTCACAACAATCTTCCTTGGACAATCTCCAACAATCGTGAAAATCGGAGAATAGAGAGAGAGAGAGAGAGAATGAATGAATGAATGATATTTATTAGCTTTCTCAGCTATTTACATACATAATATATATCTTAAAGTATAGGCAGCACAGTCATTATATTGTTACGCCCGTGTCTTTGCCCGCGTAACGTTCGATGTACCAGCGAGCCGGTCCAGCTGTCAGATGTTTCCCTGACGACGCGTTGTCATCTGTCAAACGGATGACATATTAGACTTGGAGACGAGC